GCAACTCCACATGAACGTGAAAGTTTTCACTTGGCCTTTTTCCTTGGCCTTACTTTAAAGTTGTTGTTGCTATTTAAATTTTATTATGATTTAGATTCAATTCATTATAATTAATCTTTTTATGCACAATTCGGAAAATGTAGAAATGCATGTTTGTTCCTTGTAAATAAAAAAATAGCTAATTAGTTTTGTTACAGTACATTAAATTTTTTAAATAGTCTTAATGTGTATATATATTCAGTATAACCATATAGTATTAGTTATTAGAACGCAGCTTTTCGAAAATACTACATACATAATAAATAATATACTGTACATCAGGAAATTTTTTTAGGGGATAAATATCGAGATACATCATTTATCGATATTTATCTCAATAAAAAAATCGAAAATTAACGAAATAAGATAATTTGCGATAATTATTTTACGATATTAATATGTAACGATATTTAGCATCATCGAAATTAATTACCAAGATAATTAACGATAAAGATAATATATGAAATTAATCACCAAGATAATTAATGATAGAGATTATATACGAAATTAATCAGATTGATTGCTTATTTCCTTCATGTCTGTTTGATTCTTGTTATGGTATAATTATGTACTTTCCTTTTGGCTCTAGAATTTGCACTTGTACTAGCCGCACTCATAGTACTTAGTTTCTTCAAGTATTTTATTGCTGATTCTCTTGACGGTTTTCCTTCTAGAGCTATTACCAATTAATTTATTCTTTGTAAATTTTGTTAATTTCATCTCTCGATTTTGATTCATTGTATGTTAATAAATTAATAACAAATTGTTTGTTCCCGCAAGTAGAGATTTTGTTGTTATACGAATTAGAAATTAATTTCAAATGTTCTATTAATTTCTTCATTTTTTACTCTTTCATTTGTTTCTTCTTCTAACGTCTTAGCTCTTTTTTTAATTCAAACATGGTGTTCTACCAATGCTTAAAATTCTTTCTTGCTATTTAATTACAGTTACCAGCATTTTACATTTCCTAATTAATTGTAATTTATTTTTCTTTTCTTTATAACGGTCTCTTTTTTTAATTTTTTCTAGACTTTGTTTTGCAAAACTTTGATCCTATAACGATCACTTGTTTTGACGTTTCTTCCTCCTTGCATTATTTCATTTGTTCTTCCATCAAAGATCCTATTATCCTTTCGGTATCCATTTCTTTTCTTTATTTCCATTCTTTAATTAAAACTTTCCGAATGTATTATTTTTAAATTTTCGTAGGTCCAGGCCCTTTTTTTTTTTTTTTTTGAACTATTTCCAGAAGACTCATGCTACTTGAATTGAAATATATAGTCTTCTGGTTCTATTGCGCATTGTTTATTGAATTTTCATATTTATCCATGTTCCGTCTTCTCTCCTAGGATACTTTTTCCGTGACAGGGTTCTGATCAATTCTTCCGTGTAAAAGGGTCGTTGAACGTTACATTATTAAAATTTTTAAAATAATTTCTTCGATCTATTTTTCGTCATAACCTTTCTTTAACACTTCTTTAATTCTAAGGGTATATTTTTCGTCACAGCTTCTTTGATTCTAAAAGTATAGCTTTTAGTTATAGTCTTCCTTGAACACTTTGTTGATTTTAAAAGTATAATTTTTTTCGTAGCCTTTTTGAACACTTCTGTATTCTAACAGTATAGTTTTTAGCCCTAACCTTTCTTGATTTATCCTTTGCTACTATTTACTAGTTATTCTCAAGGTACAGTTTTAATTCGTTTGCTTTTTATCTCCGGAATTTTACGTCTAGGATTCTTAGCCATTAATTATATAGTATATGATAATAACATATAGAGTCTTTCGGTGGTGATAGTATTTACTCTTCCTCTCGTTCGGTGGCTATGATGTTAATGCTTCCTTTCGTCTTTATCCTTGTTTTCACAGGTAATGTTTTTCTTGCCACGTATCCGTTTCTTCCGCTTTAAAATAGTATGTACCTTAACTTCAGCTTTTCAGCTAAAAACCTTAATTCCAATAATATATATGTCTATACAGGTTCGCGACTATAATCTCTTCAGCAAATGATATGAGGATCCATTTGCAAATTATAGTCTTGACATAGAATGCGCGAGAAGACCTTTAGAACGATGATATGAAAAATTTAAGATATGATTATTTAGTTATTTATTAAAAAATTTATCATATATTTTAGGAATTAATTAGAGATAATGAATCCATTGAAATTAATGACTTTATATCGATATTAAAAAAAGCCTATAAAAAATAAAATATGGAATTGGTACGGAATGCAAAAAAAAAGTACAGAAAAGACATACAAAAGGTGCATAAAAAGTACGGAAATTTGTTTTGTTACATGAACTGTTTCCGTACTTTTTATACGTTTTCCTACGCCTTTTGTACGTCTTTTCCGTACTTTTTTGCATTCCATATATTCTGTACCAATTCCATTATTTTTATAGGGAAGAAATTCCGGAAATCCAAAAGAAAAATGGGACAAATGTTGAAGAAGAAGAAGATAGAGAAACAATTGAAGAATAACCAAATTATGATTCATTATTTTATTAATAATGGTTCAATTTATTTATTATTTATAAATTTAATATGATTACTTTATTTTACTAATTAATAATACTTACATGATATATTTAGAACTAAGACCAGTGAAAATTGGGTGTTGGAGTTATTTTAATGTTGCATTTAGTTATACTTTTATATAGTGGCTAATTAGTACTGTAAAAAATTTAACATTAATAAATATTACTCAATATTAATCATTTTAGTTAAATTTCAATAATTTATCCATATTTATCTATATTGAATTTAATTGATGAGCACGATTATTAATGATGTATTATGATGTTGTTAAATTTCGACGTTGCTAAATTTCGAGGTGGTTAAATTTTGATAATTTATCCATATTCATCTATATCGAAAATAATCGACGAGGGCGATTATTATTGACGTATTATCAAATGGATTTTCATCGATATATATCCCCATAAAAAATTTCCTGATGTAGGCAAATAAATATATATAATACAGTCCCCCAAAAAAGTAATGGCGGGGTGTTTTTTTATTATTAAAAAATTTTTTATATAACAATTATAAAAAAA